TTTTCCAACCTGTTGCTCTCTGGAGGTGATGGACTACAGCTCCCATCATCCACAGCCGGCCGTCTGTAGGGCAGCAGGCAACATCCCTGTGCCTCCTACCTTCTTGCTTTTTCCCCGAGAAACTACGGTATTGTGCAGGGCCCTGATCTTTTCCAACCTGTTGCTCTCCGTCGGTGATGGACTACAGCTCTCTGGCTGGGGATGATGAGAGCTATAGTCCATCACAGATAGGGAACAAAAGGTGGGAGCAAGCTTCCTCTAATTAACAGGAGGTAAATACCTTTTTCTTCGCCCCATCCAGCAGGGTGTGCCCCATTTCTGTAGGTCAAATGCTCCCCCCTGATCCTTTCAATTTCTCTCACCCCAGGTTGAACAGCAGTTTGCATTGTGGGTTGTTGTTGTTTTTAAATGGCTACAATATTTCTATGCAAGAACTTGTTAACAAACTAAATGGGAAGAGTTCTCAGGCTGGGCGTTACAGGATACTGTATGTTCTTTCTGCCCTGCAAAAGCGCAGATTTCCCATAAAGAAACTAACTGGGCGCCTGTCCCATCTCTTAACTCCCTTGTTTGTTAGGGGTGTTGCATGTGTCTCCCTCTTTAGAGCATTCAATATTGTTGGATAGACATATTTATTGTGGCCGTGTGCTGTGCTCCCCCTTCTTTTTTGGGGGGGGGGCAGATCCAGTTGTGGACAACTGTGGCCTTCGAGTGATTTTGCTCTGGAAATCACCCCATTCCTTGCTGTCGGCTCTGTTGGAGAGGGTTAAAGCGAGGTCTAAAAGGCAGCAACATCTTGAAGGCTAGTGTGGCCCACACCTGTTCTATGGAGAGACTGTGCACATTCCACCTCTGTGTCTCCGAGCCCCATAAATAGCAATTTGGCATAGGCTTCCCCCACCCCCTTGGTCTGTAGGTGTCAGTTGTCCATACTCTTCCTATGGAGAAGAACTAGATTCCTGCTGCGATCCTGCCTCTTAATTCTCTCTCGTCTTGCTCTCCTAAAGGAAGTCGATCCCTTGAGCAGCATTCACAGAATTGATCTGCAGCATGTACCTTGACCTGTGTACTTATACCAGATTGACCCCATGCTGGTATGGCTCTCATAAAAGAACCCTGTCTCTGTCAGCGATAGACTACAGCTCCCATCATCCCCAGCCGGCCGCCTGTAGGGCAGCAGGCAACGTCCCTGCGCCTCCTACCTTCTTGCTTTTTCCTGGAGAAACTATTGTGCAGGGCCCCCATCTTTTCCAACCTGTTGCTCTCCGTCGGTGATGGACCACAGCTCCCATCATCCCCAGCTGGCCGGCCGGACTACAGCTCCCATCATCCCCAGCCGGCCGCCTGTAGGGCAGCAGGCAACGTCCCTGCGCCTCCTACCTTCTTGCTTTTTCCTGGAGAAACTATTGTGCAGGGCCCCCATCTTTTCCAACCTGTTGCTCTCCGTCGGTGATGGACCACAGCTCCCATCATCCCCAGCTGGCCGGCCGGACTACAGCTCCCATCATCCCCAGCCGGCCGCCTGTAGGGCAGCAGGCAACGTCCCTGCGCCTCCTGCCTTCTTGCTTTTTTCTGGAGAAACTATTGTGCAGGGCCCCCATCTTTTCCAACCTGTTGCTCTCCGTCGGTGATGGACCACAGCTCCCATCATCCCCAGCTGGCCGGCCGGACTACAGCTCCCATCATCCACAGCCGGCCGCCTGTAGGGCAGCAGGCAACGTCCCTGCGCCTCCTACCTTCTTGCTTTTTCCTGGAGAAACTATTGTGCAGGGCCCCCATCTTTTCCAACCTGTTGCTCTCCGTCGGTGATGGACCACAGCTCCCATCATCCCCAGCTGGCCGGCCGGACTACAGCTCCCATCATCCCCAGCCGGCCGCCTGTAGGGCAGCAGGCAACGTCCCTGTCCCTCCTGCCTTCTTGCTTTTCCCGGAGAAACTATTGTGCAGGGCCCTCATCTTTTCCAACCTGTTGCTCTCTGTTGGTGATGGAGTACAGCTCCCATCATCCCCAACCGGCTGGCTGGCTGGGGATGATGAGAGCTGTAGTCCATCACAACGATTGTCGCAAAGCGAAAAAACCTCATGAAAACATGGTTTTGCAATCGCAATTGCGACAGCAAAAACATCGTCGTGAAGCAGATTCGTTGTTATACGGGGTAATCGTTAAGCAGGGCACGACTGTATGCTCATACAAGGCTTTGTGAAATGAAAGATGGAGCATAAACCAGCGTACAGAGATTTTTAGTATACTTCCAACTTTATTTTTTGACACCACAGGTTACATATAGATCAGCTGTGCCCAGAAAGATTCTAGATTCAGTCACCAGCACCATTGTTTAATATCAGAGCTTGACAAAGTGACCTGGTTTTCGATCTGGACCATCAGTATTCTGAGAGTTGTAGTCCAAAAAGTAACTTTTTTTGGATCAAGTATGGAGTGTGAAAGCCCTCCCCTAGATAGTCTCCACCACAATAGTCCAGCGATCCTCAACATGATGGGCTGATACATAGATCTTGAACATGGACGTGTAGCATGTTGGGATGAGATGCATGCAGGACGTGGATTGCAGCTGCAACCCCTACATAGGGGAACAGGGTTGGTCCTGCTTGGAGGCTCCTTGGGCCGTCACTCCTGCAGTCCCTTATTATTATTATTGGCTGCACTGGCTGGGGCTTTCGGAGTCGTATTCCAAAATATCTGTAGGGTCAAATCTTCTTTATCCCTGCTGTTGCCAAAGGTCAGAATGGCAGCCTGAATTTTGGTTTTTAGTATTAGGCCTAGTAGGCCTGCTGGTTGCTTATGCTTACCTCCTCCTGAAAAGGCTGCCTTACTCTCCAGCTCTTTGATGCACCCCTTGGGAGAGAACGAGGATTCTGTATCAGTGACTGTGTGTGAATCTAGGCAATACTATGGATTTGTATGAGTTGATCCAGCTTCGAACTGTGGATCTGAGACGTGTGTGCAGTGCCAGTGGCTTTGCTTGACTCAGCAGTTACAATTTACTGTCCTGTTCTCGTACAAACCATAGGACATTTCAAATGATGGATTTCTCTCTGTTTCCTCCAGTTCTCTGGCATCATCCTTTTGGCTGTAGGCATCTGGGGGAAGGTGAGCTTGGAAGTGTACTTCTCCCTGTTAAATGAGAAGGCCACGAATGTGCCCTACATCCTGATTGCAACAGGCTCAGTTGTCATCCTTCTAGGTACCTTTGGCTGTTTTGCCACCTGCCGGGGGAGCACATGGATGCTAAAATTGGTAAGTATTGGGGAGGAGAAACTCTTGACCTGCCGTGGTGTTCCTAGATCCTCGCTGCGGCTTCAGGCTTTGGAGTCGGGTGAGTGTAGTTTCCTCTGGGAGAAGCCGTTCTGCTGTCCTTAGGGTGTGTGGATGCCGTGTGTCTTCTCTTGTTTGTGCACTTTAGAGAGACGAGTGTGGGCGTCTGTGTACAGGCACATGTCTGAGAGAGGAGTGAGTGGGGTTCAGAGAACAATCTGGATTTGCATGCTTTTGAAGGAATTAGGTAAGGGAGCTCATCTTTTGTTAGGGAAAACGAACTCTCCCTCCCTTCAAGAAATGGATCTACAGTGGTGCCTCGCTTGCCGACATTAATTCGTTCCAGCGAAATCGCTGTAGAGCAAAAACGTCGTAAAGCGAAATAAAAAAGCCAATTGAAATGCATTGAAAACCGTTCAGTGCGTTCCAATGGGCTGAATAACTCACCGTCCAGTGAAGATCCTCCATGGGGCGGTCATTTTCGGTGCCTGTAAAGCAAGGAATCCGTCCAAAAACACAGCAGGGAGCCATTTTGAGCAGCTGGCGGCTATTTTGAAAGCATGACAAAATCAGCTGTTTTGATCCTCGTAATGTGAAGAATCGGTTCCCGAAGCAGGGAAGCGATTGTCGCAAAGCGAAAAAACCCCATGAAAACATGGTTTTGCGATCGCAATTGCAACAGCAAAAACATCGTCGTGAAGCAGATTCATTGTTATACGGGGTAATCGTTAAGCAGGGCACAACTGTATGCTCATACAAGGCTTTGTGAAATGAAAGATGGAGCATAAATCAGGGTACAGAGATTTTTAGTATACTTCCAACTTTACTTTTTCTGACACCACAGGATGCATATAGATCAGCTGTGCGCAGAAAAAATTCTAGATTCAATCACCAGCACCATCGTTTAATATCAGAGCTTGACAAAGAGACCTGGTTTTCGATCTGAACCATCAGTATTCTGAGCGTTGTAGTCCCGAAAGTAACTTTTTTTGGATCAAATATCATTGAGTGTGAAAGCCCTCCCCTAGATAGTCTCCACCACAATAGTCCAGCGATCCTCAACATGATGGGCTGATACATAGATCTTGAACATGGACGTGTAGCATGTTGGGATGAGATGCATGCAGGACGTGGATTGCAGCTGCAACCCCTACATAGGGGAACAGGGTTGGTCCTGCTTGGAGGCTCCTTGGGCCGTCACTCCTGCAGTCCCTTATTATTATTATTGGCTGCACTGGCTGGGGCTTTCGGAGTCGTATTCCAAAATATCTGTAGGGTCAAATCTTCTTTATCCCTGCTGTTGCCAAAGGTCAGAATGGCAGCCTGAATTTTGGTTTTTAGTATTAGGCCTAGTAGGCCTGCTGGTTGCTTATGCTTACCTCCTCCTGAAAAGGCTGCCTTACTCTCCAGCTCTTTGATGCACCCCTTGGGAGAGAACGAGGATTCTGTATCAGTGACTGTGTGTGAATCTAGGCAATACTATGGATTTGTATGAGTTGATCCAGCTTCGAACTGTGGATCTGAGACGTGTGTGCAGTGCCAGTGGCTTTGCTTGACTCAGCAGTTACAATTTACTGTCCTGTTCTCGTACAAACCATAGGACATTTCAAATGATGGATTTCTCTCTGTTTCCTCCAGTTCTCTGGCATCATCCTTTTGGCTGTAGGCATCTGGGGGAAGGTGAGCTTGGAAGTGTACTTCTCCCTGTTAAATGAGAAGGCCACGAATGTGCCCTACATCCTGATTGCAACAGGCTCAGTTGTCATCCTTCTAGGTACCTTTGGCTGTTTTGCCACCTGCCGGGGGAGCACATGGATGCTAAAATTGGTAAGTATTGGGGAGGAGAAACTCTTGACCTGCCGTGGTGTTCCTAGATCTGCAGCTATACAGTGGTGCCTTGCTAGACAGTTACCCCACCTGACAGTTTTTTCGCTAGACATTGGCTTTTTGCGATCGATATAGCGATTCGCAAAATAGTGATTTCTATGGGGGAATTTTTGCTGGACAATGTTTGGTCCCTGCTTTGCAAACCGATTTTCACTAGACGACGATTTTGACAGCTCCCTCCGCGCTCGCAAAACAGGTGTTTTCGGGATCTAAGCTTCGCAAGACAGTGATTTAAACAGCTGATCGGCGGTTCGCAAAGCGGCTTTCCTATGGCCGATCTTCACTAGACAATGACAATTCTTCCCCATTGGAACGCATTAAACAGGTTTCAATGCATTCCAATGGGGAAATGTTTTTCGCTAGACCATGATTTAGCTAAACAGCAATTTCAGTGGAATGGATTATCATCGTCTAGCGAGGCACCACTGTAATGGCCTGTGTTTATTGTGCCTCACTCACTTTCTTCCCCTTTTGTAAGCTTTATCAATTCATTTGCAAAATGTCGGTCATCACACGCCTTCCCGCCTCCCACCCTGGCTTTCCCCCAGTGTTGCTCTTTCCCTCGGTGTTTCCCTTGAAATGCATGTACAAGAAACATGTCCGTAGTTCTCTGTGAATCGGTGACATATAGAATGTGTTCAATAAATTTATATGTTTATTTTATTTATATAATTTAAATTAATTTATTTAATTTGGACACCGCCTCATTAGTGCACTATTCTGGGTGGTTTAATAATGAATTAAAACATATATAAAACAAACAATAAATAGTAGAAGTAAAACACCTAAAAGGACAAAAACTAATGATGCTATAAACAATTTCCTGGTGATAGCAGGATAGGAGGTAAGCAGTCCATCAATCAGAGGCAGTATGAAAGGCTTCCCGGAAAAGGAATGTTTTGAGTTGTGTCCTAAATGACAACAGGAAGGGAGCCAGGCATAGTTTCTCCCGGAGCTGGATCCAGAAGGTTGGAGCCACTGCGGAGAAGGCCCTGTCTTTTGTAGAAGACTTCCGGGCCTCCATTGGGGTGACTACACAGAGGAGCCTAGCCTTAGAAGATCTGGTGGGTCGGGCAGAGGATGTTGGGGAGAAACGCTCCGACAAATAACATGGTCCAGAACCGTAGAGGGCCTTATACGTGTGTCAGAACCTTGAATCTGCTCCAGGACACGATGGGTCACCAGCGAAGAGAGCCAGGACCGGGATGATGTGGTCAGAAACGTGGTACTATGTTTATCTGCTTTATACGTGTGTCAAAACCTTGAATCTGCTCCAGGACACAATTGGTCACCAGCGAAGAGAGCCAGGACTGGGATGATGTGGTCATAAACGTGGTACTATGTTTATCTATTCCTTGGGTAATGGATGCAATATAGTATGAACAAGAAATGATGAAAGTTTTTGGTGGAGGAGGGGAACTACGATTCCCAGAATACCTGGTGGCTACTTGCTGACCGGCTGAGGTAGTGATTGGATTGTAGTCCCCAAAATAAGTTTTCCCATTTCTGGTAAGAACATGGGAAAGATCAGACCACAAATCTTACAGTGGCCGATAAATTAATTCAGCTTGTATGAATTCGAGTCCTAACCACAGCTTGGTATGCCATTAAAAAAAAACACAAAAAAACTTGTTTTGTTACTGATTGCCTTGAGAGAAACAGGTTGCTGAACGTTATCATTTGCATCATTTGGATGCAAAAGTAATTCATTTGATTGTGCATTTTTGACATGTTTTATTGTCATAAATGAGATCTAAAAATTACTGGGAAATTTCTTCTGATGACCAAACCTGATGCTCCATTTTGATGTGGGGGAAGCAGTGGACACAGTTGAACTCTACTTCTGTTTTGGCTTATTCTCCACAGATGGGGAACATTCACCCCCAGCTTGTGTGGTAGTTGAATTTAGGATGTATTTTGTGGGGATTCTCTATACTATGGCAGTAGTGAGGATGTTGTCTATTGGTTTTAATTTTCTTTTGTGTTCCCATCCACAGTATGGCATGTTCTTAACCCTTATCTTCCTTGTTGTGCTGGTGGTGGCCATTGTGGGTTTCGTCTTCCGACATGAGGTGAGTTTGTGTGTCTTTCCATGTCTCTGTCCTTTTGTAATAGGGCTGCAGCCTTTTGTAATACCATGTTGGCTTTCTGCCTTCCAGGTGGATGCAGTAGGGCCATATCCAGCTTTAACTGAGGTTTTTGCTTCTGAGCTCAGCGTATCACTTTACTAAGGCAGGGGTGAAGAACAGTCTCCAGCTCTTATCATGCCACACCTTTGGCCATGCATGACTGTGGTTGAGGAGAGATCAAGTTCAAACCTTCTAGAGGGCCAGAGGTTCTCCACACACATTTTAATTCATGTGTTTTATTTATTTATATTATTCCTTCTTGTGAAGATCTCGGTAGCAAGCACCCTGTCCAAAACACAATCTAACACACAAACCTTACTAAAAGCATAGTTGCAAACACAAAGATGCAAGATACACCAGAATAAAGGTAACATTTGCTTGTTATACCTGAAGGCTTCATAGCAAAGTATGACTTTAGCTGGTTCCTAAATGACAACATTTAGGAACATGGTGGCACTGCAGGTTAAACTGCAGAAGTCTCTGTGCTGCAGGGTCAGAAGACCGGCAGTTGTAAGATCGAATCCACGCGACGGAGTGAGCTCCTGTCGCTTGTCCCAGCTCCTCCCAGAGATTCTCCACACACATTTTAATTCATGTGTTTTATTTATTTATATTATTCCTTCTTGTGAAGAACTCGGTAGCAAGCACTGCATAATAACATTAAAAATTATACTTATAACAAATGTTAGCTTCTGACGTCGCTTTCGAGAAGGTGTTTGGGAACGGGCAGCTTCTGTTTGAAACGAAACGGGGATGAGCACCGTGCCCTAGAGTCGGACATGACTGAACTAAATGTCGAGGCAAACCTTTACTTTTACCTAAATGACAACAGTGAGAGGCACAATGGGATTTTGGTGGCAGGGAGCACAGCAGTTGGACCCTTAGGGATGATGATTGATGTGTGGAAATGTTCAGGTGTAAAAAACCTTAAGCCAGAGAACCAAACAAGTCCTTTGAAAGAATTGCACTGCATAATAAAAAAGTCTGTAAGTCAAGCCGTCTGTAAGTCAAGGGTCCACTGTAATATGATAGGCGTCCATCGGGGTGTTCTAGGGTTTGCTTAAGTCCATATTTAGGTGACGTCGCTTTCGAGAAGGTGTTTGGGAATGGGCAGCTTCTGTTTCCCAAATAATATGATAGGCTTCCATCGGGGTGTTCTGGGGTTTGGTTCAGTCCATATTTAGAAACAAGCTAACGTCATTCACAACTCCCAAGGCAAGGTCTAGAAAGGAATATGCTTTTCCTGTTGTTTTCTTCATTCTCTGAACTCTGCCACGGTTCTTAGCTTTAAAAATGCATTGAAGTATGTATGAAATATGTTTTATTGTCACTGGCATAAAATGTTTATCTTACTATAAAGGGCATGTAAAAATTTGTAAAAGGCAAGAAGATTTATACGATTGGAAGAGAAACCAGAGCATTAACATGTAAAAAAAAGGATATGAGCTTTAAAAATTCTGTTAAAAATTAACGTAGAAATGGGACAGAGTTTATGATTGATGAACCTGTATGAAACTGACAGGAACTGAAAACAGCCTGAACTGTCACTGGGGCAGTTTTGTGTTGCTATGTTTCTTTAAACATGTGTTATCAGGTAAAAACAAAATAAAAATTAAAAATAGGACAAAAATGTTCAGGCACCTTAAAGACTCACTGCTATGGCATAAGAGGAAGTGTCCATATCCACGAAAGCTCATAAATATAACAGTTGATCTTTAAGGTGCCACAGCGGTTTTGTCGTCTTTATTTTTTATTTTTATTTTCTTTTTGCCAGATACGCTCTCATAGGGCCACAGCGGTTTTGTCGTCTTTATTTTTTTATTTTTCTTTTCTTTTTGCCAGATACGCTCTCATAGACTAACATGTCTTCCTCTTTTAAAACTTTAAACATGTGATAACTTTCTCCTTCCTGTGCAGATTAAAGACAGTTTTAAGAAGAACTATGAAACTGCTGTGGAGAAATACAGCGGGAGCAAAGATGAGCGCAGCAAGGCAGTTGATACCATTCAGACCACGGTGAGCCACTATTTCTCTCTTCTTCAGAATTGGCATATTTATTCATTCATTCATTTATTTATTGCATTTATACCCTGCCCATCTAGTCAATTGACTACTCTGGGTGGCTTCCAACACATATAATAACAATAGTAAAAAATAACAACATTGAAACATCAGTAATAGAGTTATTCAAGATGGAAAGAAATAGGAGAAAAAAATCAAATAATAGCTGAGTGGAAGGCCTGCCATGTCTGTGGTTCCTTCAGTAAGATGGACAACCTTCATCTTGAGTCTGCACTAGAAGTTACATGTGAGGCCTCCTGTTCAAATCAAAGCTCAGAAAACTTACTTTTTTTGGATTTCACCTTGAATTCTCTAGCCAGGTGTTATTTCAAAAATAAAAATAAGATCTCTTTCAGGTTGGGAACATGAAACATATAAATTAAAATGCTTGCCTTTCAGCCTGCTGTAAGATGAACGATGCTTTGTTATACTGATTTCTGGCATGTTTTGTTTTATGTGGGGTATTTTATGTGCTGCTGGATGTGCCACTTCTGACTTGGCAGGTTATCATAGCAGAGGGACGGTCATCATCCCTAAAGGTCACGTCCTCTCTCACCTGAAGTACATGGAATAAAGGGGACATTACAGCTGGGGAAGATTCTTGTCCCTATATTTATTGGACTACGGAAAATTGGCCCCTGGATCAGTGGCAGCGAACCTTTTTTAGGCCCGAGTGCCCAAACTGGGGGGAAAAAAAACTGGTGGGCAATGTGCTGCAGCAGCGGAACCGGAAGTGGTGGTGCAAGGGGGAATCCTGGGCACTGAGGTGCCTCAAGACCCCACTCTGGATCCATTGCCAGCACCAGCTGCTCCAGATCCTGGCCCGTCACCTGTTGAAGTGCTAGCACCGCAGCTGCAGCCTCCTCCTGAGGTTTGGCTGTCGGGGGGGGGGGGGGAGTGACTTATGGCTCGCGTGCCCGCAGAAAGGGCTCTGTGTGCCAGCTGTGGCACGCATGCCATGGGTTCACCATCGCTGCCCCAGACCCACCAAAAGTGCTTAACCTGGCTTATGAAATACCATACTTGCAATTTTAAAAAGATTATAAAGAAAAAAAATAGATATTAAAACTGTAGAATGCAATATTATTGAAAACTGAAATGTTTGAGTATCCTTGGAGAAGATGAGGTTTTGTCTTGGTACCTGAAGGACAGTAAAATATGTATTGATTAAGTTTCTGTAGAGTGAGTTCCATTAAAGGAGGGAGCATGACAATACACACTTCCTCCTGGATCGCTGTCCACCTGACCTTTGGCAGTGGAGCTATCTAAAGCAGAGCAGTGCATGGGCTCATAGTGAACACCAATCTCTTTATTAACCCAAGGTTAAAAACATGTGGTTAGGGATCGGATTTTTATAATTCTGAACTTGCATCTCCAAAAGACACCTAGAATTCCTCAGGCAGATGTCTGGGACTGATGGAGAAACCAGTAGACAAAAGAGATGGAAATTGCCCCAGTGGTCAGTGGGTTGGGTAATCTCACCACCCATTCAACTCTATGGGGGAGCTTCTCACTGAACTAATTAATCCCCATGGTGACTCCTGGGAAGTAATGCAACTGAGTGATGCAACTGCTCCCTTCTTCTTTCCAACCAAATCGCATTGAAAGAAGCACAATATAGAAAGACATCTGTTTTGCCTTCTGGTTTCTCCTGCCCGGGGGATTCTCAGTGACTTCCGCAACTAGAAGTCCTAGAATTACAAAACTTCCATCCCTGCATGTAATTGGCAGATCCAAATCTTTGGGGTAGGGGGAAACTATTTGCATGAGGACTTGGTTCATAAACAATTTATGCGTCTTCGGCACAGACAAGGAAGAACTGAACCCTAGGCTCAGATTTTCATTTTTGGGGAAAGGATCTAACGACCACACAATTAGCGCTCCTCTCAATATTCTAGAAACTCCATACTTTTATCCCTAGCAGTGGTCCCTTTTTAAGCAATTGCAAAGCATTTATTTTACTTCTCCACTGACTGCTTATTGTGTTCGTTGGTGTGCTTGTCTTTAATTTAGATTTTATAACGATTATGTTTATTGTTTTGAATTGTTTTCTGATGTCAGGTTTGTTTAACAGAGCAGCCTTGGCAGCCAGATGGCTGGTAGAGAAGTCAAATTTTTGTTGTTTAGTCGTGTCCAACTCTTCGTGACCCCCATGGACTAGAGCACGCCAGGCCCTCCCGTCTTCCACTGCCTCCCGGAGTTGGGTCAAAGTCATGTTGGTGGCTTCAATGACCCTATCCAACCATCTCGTCCTCTGTCGTCCCCTTCTCCTCTTGCCTTCACACTTTCCCAACATCAGGGTCTTTTCCAGGGAGTCTTCTCTTCTCATGAGATGGCCAAAGTATTGGAGCCTCAGCTTCAGGATCTGTCCTTCCAGTGAGCACTCAGGATTGATAGAACATACATGCATACATGCATACATGCATACCGTTTCTTTACCCCATCCTGTACAGTATGTGTGGAAGCCACGGAGCTGTCACAGCCCTGCAGTGCCTTATTTTGAGTCTCAGTGGAATACCCTTGTGGGTGAATTCAGTGCTGAAAATTCAACAGCACAAGAGCAGAGAACCTTTTGCCTTCCAGATTCCTTTCGACTTCTACTCCTGGAAACCCTAACCAGTATGGGATTGTGGGATTTGTAGTCTAAAGTGTTTGGACAAATCAAGGTTCCCCACCTGTGCAATTGAGAGAAAGACTGTTTTCTCTTGGACTATGAACAGTATGTCAGGTGAATGGTTTGGGGTAGGAAGAAAGTGAACGGTGTGAACATGTGTGTGTAGAGAGCTGATGCTGCAGAATTTCAGTGTGGTTTGAATTCTTGACATTTGCTGAAGTTGTCCCACTACAAACAGTCTGTCTGACAGGTGAGTGCTGGAGGATTGTCGGCAGCAGCCGTGTTGGATGCACGTGGGTGGATTGGTAGGATGTTAATATTTTTGAGCAGGGTATGCAGAAGTGGAGTATGCTGACCATGCTGTGTGATCCACCCTCCTTTGTTTTACTCCCTTGCAACAGTTGCATTGCTGCGGCGTGCTCAACTTCACTGACTGGAACACGAGTGCCTACTTCAAGCAGAATGGGATTCCCGTGAGCTGCTGCAAGTCCTTAAACAACTGCACAACGGCAGATCTGAAGGATCTTGAAAAAGCCAAAGGGAAGGTGTATGAAAACGTAAGGGTGTTTGACCATCTTGTGGGGGCGGGGTGGTTTATTCAGCCGAAGGCTGTCAGGGTGCTCATGAGATTTAGTCTTCCATGGAAGGGCAGATGCATCTGGTGATGACATGAAATAATCTAAATTCAGTTGTTAACCTCAACTCTACAGGAGATGTGCTGAGTCAGTGGAACTTCCATAAGTGCTGGCTTAGCGAAATCCCATTACAGTGGTGCCCCGCTAGATGCTTACCCCGCATAACGTCGAAATCGCTTGACGATGACTCTATTGCGATCGCAAAATGATGGTTCCTATGGGGGAAATCCACTTTACGTTGATTAGGTCCCTGCTTTGCGAACCGTTTGTTCGCTAAACGATGATTTTTTCCGGCTCCGCAAAATGGCTTTCCTTCGCAAACTGGCATCCCTCCCTTTGCAAAATGGCTGTTTTCTGGATAGAAGTTTCAGAAGACAGCGATTTTAAACAGCTGATCGGCGGTTCCCTATGGACGATCTTCGCTGGACAAAGGTATTTCCCCACTGGAACACATTAACTGGTTTTCAGTGCATTCCAATGGGTTTTTTTCCGCATGACGATTTCACTGTACAGTGATTTTAATGGAACGGATTATCGTTGTCATGCGAGGCACCATTGTAATTCAGTGGAGCCTACTCTCGTTGAGCCTTACTGTAGGAGTTAGTGTAACTCTTTGCTTCATCCCTTAAATAGAAACTGGAGGCAAATGTCTGTGATCTGTGAGGATGTAGCAACAAGGAGCAGCCCAAGATGATTGGGCTGACTGAGATTGTTTTATGGCGACTGGAGGTCAGAACTGACCTTTGGAAAGTACACAGCAATAAAGGAGCTGTGGCAAATAAGTGAAATTGGGGCAGCTTGCCTCCAGAGGTGCACTGCAAATTCTTGGTCAGATCAAAGTCCTCAGGCTGATGTAAGCCAAGGTTATGTTTCGATCCATGTTTGGGAGATAACGTCAAGTTTGTTCTTTCTCTCCTCCCTCCCTCCCTTTCTTTGTGGGCAGGAATTAACTCAGAAGTTCTCGTGTGTACGTTATTTTTCTCTCTCTTCCCCAACAGGGTTGTTTCAATTTGGTGGTGAAAACGATGGATTCTAAAATGAGCGTTGTCGCCGGGGTCTCCTTTGGGACCGCTTGCTTCCAGGTAACAAGCTCCCTCTTGGGTCTCATTGTGTTCTGTGCTAATTGTATGTACCTCCCCACCCTCCCGGCCCTTGCTTAATTTGGTAACAAGGTTGCAGCGTGCTTCAACTATGGGGGAGGCAGGTAGCCAGCTTCTTGTTTGCTAACTGCTGTCCTGATAAGACCTTGTCTTTTCGTAGGCGTGCAAAACCGACATCTGGTCCATTGCGTGTGGCCAGGCTGCTGTGGGCAGGAAGGGGTGGATGCATAAGGGGGTTGGTGCTGCTTTGCTATTTTCAGCATCTTGGCAGCAGCAAAACTCCAGCCAGAAGAGGAGCAATTTGCTACAATGCCTTTTGGGAGTTCTATTCTTGGAGTTCCTTCAGCTGTCTAGAGCAGTGGTCCCCAACCGCGGGGTGTGTCGTGCGTGGGGCAGGAGATCTGTGTCCACACCCCGGTCCTGCCTAGGCCATGGACTGCTGCCGGGTCGTGGACCAGGGATACAGGCCAGGATTTGTGCAAACCAGGTGCAGTGCAAGCCCACTGAAACCATTCTCATTACAGGAAATATTTATTATTTATCTATTTAAAATATGTATACCCTGCCTTTCTCCTCCTCTTGGTAAATGTGAAGCCATGCTCAGGGCTGTTTTTGCACTACGTTATTTTCCTACGTTTGTGCCCTACTTTTCATCTGGGTATTTTTTGGGGGTTTCCGGTGGTCTCCCTTTCCAGCCACAGTCTGAACTGCACCTGCTTAGCCTCTGTGTGTGGTCATCTTGTCCACGGCTGAATGTGGTTTCTTTTGCTAAGCAATAAGCTTATCACGACAGCAGAGGGTGTTCGAAGGTGTAATAACTGCATCTGTGAAAACTACATGGGTGTTAACCTGCCTTCACACAATTGTGTCAGTCCACCTGTATGTGCCCTGCTTCTTCCCTTTATTCTAGAGTGGTCTAGAAAGTAGAGTCTAGAAAGATTCCATGAGGAATTTTTGACTTTCTTATGGTAAAGGTAAAGGTTCCCCTTGACAATTTTTGTCCAGTTGTGTCCGACTCTAAGGGGCGGTGCTTGTCCCCGTTTCCAAGCCAGCGTTTTTGTCCGAAGACAATCTTCCGCGGTCACATGGCCAGTGCGACTTAGACACGGAACGCTGTTACCTTCCCACCGAGGGGGTCCCGATTGATCTACTTGCATTTGCATGCTTTCGAACCGCTAGGTTGACGGGAGCTGGGACAAGTGACGGGCGCTCACGCCGTCACGTGGATTCGATCTTACTACTGCTGGTCTTCTGACCCTGCAGCACAGGCTTCTGTGGTTTAGCCCACAGCGCCACCACGTCCACTTTCTTATGGTAGCTCAGTACAAGATAGTGACTAAATAGTTGCTAGTGATGCTTATGTAAATGCCCAAATGTATTTCAACAAGTGCAGGCATATCTGGGTATATTTTTTCCCTTAAATATTTTTCCTCAAGACTTTTTTTTCCAGAGTCACAAAACTTTAGATTTCTTGTCCAGTCCCTGCTGATGCAGAAGCTCAGCTCTTCAAACATTTTGATTTCTTGTATTTCTGCAAAACTTAAGGTTTACTTGAACATGTTGCTACATCCCTGTTGTTTCTTGGTGACTCTGTGTTTTGGTCACAATCCTGTCAGTTCTAAGGGCTTTGTATGTGTGTTTATGTAAGACACGCATGCATGATTATAGCTAGAGGTGTGTGTTTTAGGTCTACAGTTCCCATGGTTCCCAGGGAATGCTGGGAGATGTAGTCCAAGGCCTGTCTCTTTGGATCTTCCAAGGGCTTGTGGCATAGCCTAGGTCATCTCCTTTAGTCTCAGGCTGCTTAGAAGCTTCTTGTGCTTTCTACAAAATTAGCAGTGCTGCCAACGGCAGTCCCAAAAGCCACTCCTCCCCACCAGATTCCTTTGTAGTGTTATTGAAAGACACAAGTGGGGTTGGAGAAGATCTGTGTCCCAGGCACAAGCTGCTTTTCTGTGCAGTGACATTTGTGTATCGCCTAATCTGAGAGTCGCTCCTCTGTTCGGAAAATTACTGCCGTGTCTAGTCTAGGACCCCCTTGAGCCCCCTTTTGCCATGCACCGGGTTAAACTGGGCTGTCAGTAAACTGCCATTTGAATCTGGGAGCTCTCAGACACAGTTGGTTGGGTGTTGCATTTCCCTGAGGGTAGTATTCGGGTTAAACTGGGCTGTCAGTAAACTGCCGTTTGAATCTAGGAGCTCTCAGACACGGTTGGGTGTTGCATTTCCCTGAGGGTAGCATTCTAATTAGAGAGCGAGAGAGAGAGAGAGAGAAAGAGAGAGAGAGAGAATGTGTGTGCAATTCAGTTCAAACGGCCACAGGAGGAGGTGCTTGGTTAAGTGCTGAGTGAGAAGTTTGAATTCTGGGCTGTAGCACTTCAGACCACAGGCAGAGTGATTGATTGACTGACTGACTGATGGATGGAACCACAGGCAGAGTGACTGACTGACTGACTGACTGACTGACTGACTGACTGACTGACTGACTGGCTGGATAGGTGGGTGGGTAGGTGGGTGGGTGGATGAATGAATGAATGAATGAATGAATATCTCTCCCAAGGAAGGAATGAAAGTTCAGCTTTTCCTAACATGCCTGTTTACTATGTGGATGCAATTTTTTTAAAAATGTGGGGTAGCATTCTATAACATCACATGTGTGCACACACAAACAATCACACCTTTTTACAAATGGAAGGGCTGACAAGACAGCAGATGAATGGCAGGACATTTTTAGCATCAACTGGTCCTCCCAACCTTGAAGATGCCAACAAACTACAACAAGCTCGGAGGAGGGCAGCGAGGATGATCTGAGGACTGGAAAGCAAGCCTTATGAGAAAAGACTGGAAGAATTCAGCATATTTAGCCTTGAGAAAAGGAGACTAAGGAGAGGGATACAATACTGTAGCACTTTTCAAAGACTTGAGAGACAGTCACAAAGAGGATCTGCTCTCCATCATCCCAAAGTGCAGGACATGTAATAATGGGCACAAGCGACAGGAAGCCAGATTTTAGCTCAATATCAAGGAAAACCTCTTAACTGTTAACAGTACAACAATGGAGCCAGTTACCTCGGAGGTGGTAAACGGTCCATACTGGAGGCGTTCAAGAGAAAATTGGACAACTCTCTGTTGTATCTTAAGTATCCTTCATATCTTATGCTGTAATTTTGTGATACAGCAAGTGTTTCAAGCACATTTGGGGATGAGTCTTGGTAGAAGAGAGAGGTATAAATAAATACTATTCAGAATTTCACCTCCTTTTCAGGCATAGTGTATGCACCAGCGTGAAGTCTGACTGGCTTCCCACACTCATTCCAACTGTGGAAGTTCAATTACATAATAGGCTTAGGATATTAGCTCATAATCTCTGTGAAATTCATAAAGCTGTCACTGGTTTATGAAATTCAGTCTGACAGGCAGGGGATGTTGAGAATTCATACGCTTGGAAGCCAAGGAAGATGATCTTTGTCTTACTTATTTCGAGGATAGAATAAAAGTGGCTGTGGGAACGTCTTTTATTTTCAAAATCTGATCAACATTACAGCTTGTAGAAACAGTTGGTGGTTCAGTATGGTTTGGTCTGTTGCCCAGCCTCAATGTTTGGCTGGGAGCTTTCTTGCTGCCCTTTTAACCCTCTGTCTCTTCTCTCTCTTTTTAGTTAGTTGGGATCTTCCTTGCCTGTTGCCTTTCTCGATCCATTACAAATAATCAGTATGAGATGGTGTAACTTGCAAGCCTGGACATTCGCAGTTTGCTGCAAGGTATGTCTCTCCCTTTGCTGCAGTATCAAATCCATGTCGATTGTGTGGCTGTTGGAGGCGTCCTCGCAAAGTGACGATAATTGGTGCAGCAAAAATCGCTGCAAAGCGATTTCGTCGCTATGCGATATTAAAAGGCCCATAGGAATGCATTGAAACCCCTTCAATGCGTTCCTATGGGCTTCAGACTCACCTTTAAACGAAAATCCTCCATACGGCAGCCATTTTCGCTGCCCCGTATGCGAGGAATCTATCCCAGAAAACAGCGGGCGGCCATTTTTTTGCTCAGCGGCCATTTTGGTCCCGCCGATCAGCTGTTGGAAAATCATCGCTATGCGATGATCGGTAAGTGAAACAGCAAACCGATCATCGCAAAGCGATTTTTTCCCCATAGGGAACATCGCAATGCAGTCGCTTTTGCGATTGCAAAAAGTTAATCGCTGTGCGATTTCTTTGTTAAACGGGGCGCCCGTTAAGCAAGGCACCACTGGTACAATGAATTGGAGGCGATGGGGCGCCCGTTAAGTGAGGCACCACTGGTACAATGAATTGGATGCATACCTTTTGAAAAAGGAGAATTAGCTCTTATGATGCTTACTAAGGATGAGATTTCTGGATTTTTTTGGACTACAAATCTCATAATTCTCCATTCTGGGAACTCCACCTGATAGACACTTAAATGTGACTTACTATTCTCCATTCTGGGAACTCCACCTGACAGATAGACACTTAAATGTGACTTACTTTGGAGGAAGGCCTAAATGGGAAGGGTTTGAGGCCTAACTCTGCCCAAGCTTCCTGATCCTGCACTGGCGCTAGCTAGGAGTTTCTTTCTGAACAGCATTTGGGACTCATATAGCAGGCTTAAAAAGGCCATGGCTGGGGTGGGTTGTCTGTCTTTGCTGTGTAATTAATGTGCTAGAATTGGGGGATAATGACTGGCCTCGATGGCTTTGAAAGTGGAGTAGCCACACAAGATGGGCTGTGCTGAATCAGAACCAAGTCCTGTTTAGTCCAAAAGCCTAGTGGCAAACGAAAGGCCGGTAGGACCACCTACAAGTAGCACACAAACCCGATAACATTCTGCTGCCTGTTCTTGCCAGCGACTGGTCTACAGCAATTAGATCCCGGATGAGTTCCTTTTTGGGGCCCAAATTTAATTGCTAATCCCAATTTGAGTCGGGGTCTCCTCTTGGGAATGGCAATAGGATACTCGCTGTGGTATTGTCTTCATATGTTAAATGCCTTTCCCACCCGTTTTCACTTCTTGCATCTAAATCTAATCCAGCTTCCTGTATGATATGTCCTGCATGCAGATTTATCGGATGCAGAGATGAAAAACACCCTTGTGTCATGCTTGATTTCCTTTGCTATTTGGAGATCATTCTGTTCCTTCTTATTTTGTCCTGATAGCAATCTCTTGTCCAGTTACAGGTCAGGATAATTCAGTGTTGTGGCTCATTTAGAATAATCCATAGCTTTTTGTGATCCATTAAATCAAAGGCTTCACTATAATCTGTAACATGCAATTTTAATTCTCAAAAGAACTGGTACGCTCCAGTAGACAACATAAGGATCTCCTGTGCTTCTTTTTCTGGATCCAGATTGAGCCTCTCACATTTTTCATTCCTTACATGACACAAATGTTTGTTGGGAAATCTTGAACATCACTTTGCTTGCGTGGCAAATCCATGCAATGGTTCTGTAGTTACTGCACTCTTTGTTTTGGATTGGAGTGTGTATTGTATGTTTCTGGGTCTTTGTCTCCCCCCCATTTGTTAATATATTCTTGGTAAGATTTTGATACATTTAGCCATGAAACTACTGTAGCTGGGACTAGCAGTTGGGTTTAAGCCTTGAACTGTGACAGCTGGCATCCTTTGGGCTCAGTGGCCCTGCTGACTGCTGGTTTACGGGAGCTGCAGTCCAAAACTTAACTACAGTGGTGCCTTGCATAACAAGTGCACCGTTTAACGACGAATCCGCATAGCGACGTATTTTTTGCAATTGCATTGCGATGTTTAAATAGGGTAAACATCGCATTGCGATGATCAGTAAGCATTTCGCTTACCGATCTTCGCATTGCGATGTTTTGGGAACAGCTGATCGGCGGTTCCAAAATGGCCACTGGATCAAGAAAATGGCCGCCCGCAGCGTTTTTGCGCCGATTCCTCGCTTACAGGGTGTTTTGCCCTGTATACTGACGTTTCCGGATAGCAACGATTTATCTGGAACGGATTATCATCGCTATGCGGGGCACCACTGTATTCCGACTTCTCTCCAAGGCATTCAGATAGGTTGGCTATTGGATGTGATGGCTATATGTGATCCTCAGATCCAAAGGCAATATCGCTGAGGGTACTTCTAATTGTCCTTCAGCCTTGCTTCTGGGTTGTGTACAAATATCTGGCTCACCAATGTGGGAAACCGGAAGGTTGATTAGATGGACTTCTGATCTAATCCAGGATGATTGTTCTTATGTTCACAACTGCAGGGGTGAGTTCAAATTGAATAAGACTTGTTTGCATTGTTATTGCAAAAGGCTTAACATGATTACCTCGTGGAATGTCAATCCTGTAAATTGTTCTTCTCCGTTCTTTGCTTTCAGAACTCTGGGACATTTTTCTTTACATTTTTAAAAAAGGAGAATCTTTTGGGAATGCCTTCTTCAGCAGACCCGAGATGCTGGAATCCTGTTTGATGAGACCTCTTGTCTTCTGGACCTGTTTTCTGTCTTTGCGTGTGTACAAAAGACTGAGTGCAACAACAGATGTTATTCTACTTTGGGATGTTGTTGTTGTGATCTTATTCTGAAAGAATGCTAGGCTGGATGGTTAGTGTAGGGCAGGCTGTTAGCAAAACTCCTTCAGGGCAGAGAGGGCAGTTTTACAGCATGATCACCAACTGCACTGGGAATTGTGGAATTTAGCTCCCTGTGCAGGTATTAGATTTTGAAGCACACTAGCTTTAAAAGAGAGAGAGAGAGAATTAAGGCTTCTAGCAGGGCTGTGTAGTAGCTTGGTCATTTACCTTCAATTTATTTATATTTTCATATTATTAAGACCTTAAATAGACTTTTTAATTGAAACAGTAAGGATGATAACTTAGAAATTAGAAGATAGCTGACACTTGTCATTAGAGGCCTTTTCCTTCCTTGATATTTTTTCATTCCGTATTAAGGTAACCAATGGAGCTCTAAAACAAAGTTTTTAAAAGTGGTCTCAATGTGTGGTATCAGCAGTTATGCTTTTCTAGCTAGACGGATGTCATGTGTGACATTTGGAGTTGCTCTTGATGGTTGTTCAGAGGGTTCAGTTTTTCAGTGTCTGTGCTGAGTTCCTGTTGCTTTCTGCCTTTGGACAAGATTCTGCTGGCATTACGATGTATATCCTGAAAACTAGGGCCCAGCTTAGTTAAGAGGCTGCCCTTGTTTGTTATGACCTTTAAGATGGGCCAGAAATGTTCTCCACAAATCAAATCGCCACTATTGAAAGCAAAGCAGAGTTCTTTCTGGCTGGCTTTCGGATTGTTTCCTGCTAGACCAGGGGGTGGGGTGCTTTCAAGCCGCATGCGGCCACCAAAAAAACATATCCACCGAAATACATCAACAAATCATATTTATTTGAAATTTGGCAGCATGTCAAAAAAGACAAGAAAACAAGCAGAAGATGCTTGTTCTAAATGGATGTCTATGGTTTGCTGCTGAAGTTTGTTTGGTAAACTGGGAAGATCTCATTAAAACAGGCATGTTGAATTTCTCCTCCATTTCAGGATGAGTTGCAGCCCACAGTGGGTTGAGGGGGGCAAAATCTCTCCCCAAACCTGTTTAAGTTGCCTTACCCTGCTCAGGAGACTTACCGAAGCTTGATGCTTGTATGTCTTCTGGCAAACATATGAGACCCCACTCACCCTCCACTCCAATCATCTCTGACTGTGGATGGCTAGACGTAGCGTAATAGAACTCATGGGGCAGGGTGGGCTATACATCCAATAAACTCCCAAACAATGAAGGAATTATTAGATTAAAATAGTGAGTATAGAGTCTGACAGCAATAAGCCAGTATCCCTGTTTGAGTCCGGCTGCGATATACGGCAACATATGATAACACTAAGGGCCATATTTGCACTCCCCCCCCCCAGTTTAATCAACACTTAAGATTACAGTTCTAAACTCCCTTAATTGGATAATAAATCCTCTTGAACTAATGGGGAACTTAACCTCTGAATGAACATGCTTAGGAATATGCATGAAATGTGCTTTAAAAGCCACCTTGAGGTGCTCTTAGGGAGGAGAAGTGTACTTTGGAAGAGGAGAACAGTTCATCTACACTACACAGTTATAGCACTTTGATTCCACTTTAGCTGTTACAGCTCTATCCTGCAGAATTCGAGGATGTGTCCTTTGGTGAGGGCCATAGAATTCTCTACTCAAGAACTGTAGTATACAGTTACTTAAGCTGCAGCACTGTGCAGATATGGCAGGTGCAGAGTGTTATCAGATAGCTGAGGAGTGGAGATGCAGGCTTAACCCTTATACTGTGGAGGTTTGCATGACTCCAGAGAATTCTTCACCTTATTCCTTTCCTGGACAGTCTCTGTTGACGGAGTCATCTTGGTGTCACTTCTTTTAGCATATTTAGCGTTGTTCATCATGCAGACAAAGCCTAAACAACTAAATCTGCATTACACTAGTTCCTTTCTAGCATTGTAGGCACATGATAGAGCATGGATAAGTTACTGCTTTGGGCTACAGTGCCCCCAGAATCATGTTGGCTTGGGCTTTGAGAGATGGTAGCATCAAAAAGTAGGTTTCCAAGAACCAGAATAGGGTCATCCATGAGGTTAGGCAGATCTCCATTTGTCACACCTCTCCTTTCCTGGAATTTAGATCTCGGAAGGATTAAAAAGGGAGGGTTCCTTATGTACCTTCAAAATTAAGCTCAATTTTCTTAGGCTGCTGGTCTCAACACACAGCAAATTCTTAGCTCTCCCTGCCAAAGTCATCCATATTTTATCTAGCTGATTTTTTTAATACTGCTTTTAAAAGAAATGTGTTTCAGTGAGGCCTTTTTAGTGCCATTGTAATGATCTTTCTGTTTGTGTTTTATGACGTTCTGTCTGGGGCTTTTGAATCCAGAACTTGCACAAATATCTTTTGGACTTCTAGCTCCCAGCGTTGATGCTGGCCGAGGGAGAGAGGTAGTCCAAAAATAATGTCTCTAAGCTCTGTTTTAATTTCGACAGTCATTGCCCCACTGGGTTTGGACCTAATTTTGATCTGACAGTATTATGCAAAGCTTTGAACACCTTTTTTGTGTTGAATAGGAAACTCGTCTTGAAAACAAAATAAAACTATTATATACTTTTTGGCTTAAGTCTGTAGTTTGATTCCATGATGTCTTGATAATGATTTCCACTTGGTTGGTATGCCTGGCTTCTCCTCGGCTTGAAGTCCCCGCCGTGTCTTGGACTCTTTGAACAACGTCAAAGAGACAAAAAGAAACAGTGGAGAACAAGGGAGGGTACACACCTGCTGACTTCTACAAAATCAAAAAGAAAACCTTCCTATATGTTCAGCCACGAGGCGAGTGATACTGATGTGGCTGTAGTATTCCACTCCTATTTAGGAACGACAGAAGCCCCCTTCAACTCCAGGCCTGTAGCCATGGCTTAAAGGCTACTTTGCTCTCTTTTCCTTTTCTTTAACGGAGTTCTTCGTTCTGCAGATTCTTGAGATACCGTGCCTTCTTGTCCCACTGTATGAGGAAGGAACCTTGTTCAGCCCTAGGCCTGAATTTAATTTCAGAGAAGTTCCTGGGGAGTACTGTATGTTCCAGCGATGAGTCTGGACAAACAATTCAGCCTGTTTTAATATAAGAGCTGACTCATAGGAACGAAGCTTTAGGGGATGCAGTTCAGCTTTGCGCAGTGGGGTGGGGAGAGGAAACTTTACAAAAGCAAGGAAGTCACTCGATGATAGTGCCTGGCCTGATCATGCTTGAAGAAGTGGACTTCTCCATGAAAGAGCACATTGAAACATAGCAGCCTATCTTTAAGGTGGCCCAAGGTTTTTGGCTTCTTTATTTTTCCTTTATGTTTTGTTTTTGCCCGACGTGCTAGCACAGACGAATACAGCTACCACTTCTAAAACTACACTCAATGGCAGTAGCATTGGGGGGCATGCCTCCCTGTGATGCTGTAGGGAGGCCCAGTTCAGCCTCAGAAATTGTGGTTGTCCACCTCTGTGTTGCCGGATTACTCTGTTTTTTTGACCATTTGAAAGTATTGTATTGCAGTTGGATCTCTTTTCATTATTTACGGCCTCGAGGGGGCTATGGTTGGAAAGGTGATGTATCAGTACTTCAGATTAAAAGGAAAAAAAAGTCAAAGCCAGGGTAAATACTTTTAATATTTGCCTTCACTTAGATCACACTCCTAAACGTATAATAGCAAATATAAGATTCTTCACATTGATAAGTGTTTAGGCAAAAGTAGAAGAAACGATAGACGACACACAGGAAAAACAGCAAAATGAGCCTTAACATGATAGGAACAAAATTATGTAGGAGTTATCAATAAAACTGCTAAATTTTGTAGCACCTTAGGTTGGCAAAGATTCTTTCAGCTCTTTGCTGAGTATGCCGGTTCGACTGTATGGCAAGTGTGGACAACTTTAGCAGTCCTGGGGAGAGATGGGTGCCCTTTCGTGTCTGCCAGGAGACCCATCTGCCGTCACTGTGCATCGCTGAACTTGAGCATCCGAAGTACACAACCCCAGCTTAGAACAAGGGAGGAAAGGACCTTAACACCTTGTTTTAGAGGAGAATCATGCTTCTGGGAGGGTCTCGGGAACACGGCTTTGCTTCAAAACAAATATTTGTGACCCCTGTACATTTTATTTCGAAGCAAACATGCAAGGGCGTTTTGCCACAGCGATGCTGAAGTTCAATGTACAACATCAGATTCAGACAGGATGGGCTCTGAGACTAAAAATAGGGTGGGATCCACTATGTGCCACCAATATAGGGCTTTTTTTTGGAAGGGAAGCAAAACATCGAAGTTGTCTTGTAATAAAGCATCCCTTTATGGTTCTGAATATAGAGGAACTATGAGGAACATATACAACTTAAGAGGAAGTTGTAGGAAGCATTTAGGGAGAATTAAATATAATTGAGTGGGGCTTGCTTTGTAGAGCAGACTTGTAGGTACGTAATCTATTCAGCCACGGACAGATTAATTTCTTGGAAAAGACTGCCCTCATGTGGCTTTTTATTGGAGCTTTTAAATCCTGCTCAAGTGGAGGATGGCTTTTCGCCACAGCCAGTGCATTGGTGGAATAGTCAAGAGAATGTGTAAAACTTCTAAGTTAATTTTAAAACAAGATATACTGATATAGCTTTCTGTAATAACAGTGGCGAACCTAGTGGGAGCAAATGGAGGTGGATTAGGCTACGAGAGTTTATGGGAAATAAAATGTGTTGGTCTTCTACCTTTTGTTGTTGTTTCTGACTGCAACAAATGAACCTGCACAGCCACCCACGTACCCCAGAAATCATTTTTCTTTAAATTGTGCAGATACCATTCATAATTTAGGACTTGTGCAAAGAAGAACACACAAAGGGGAAGCCCTTTCTGCCCTGCTAGCCAAAGGTGCCTTCATCTTTGCACTCATCTGCCTTCATGAGGTTGTTCTTTCTACATCAAAATGTCTGCAAGGAAGTGTAGACTGATGGGACCACTGTATATACACAGACCTGCATCTTATATTCATGACACGATGACCTTGCACTGCTGGACAAAATCAAAGTCACCGAGCATGTAGCTTCTTGCAGGAGAGCATCACATTGAATATACAGCATACTGATGTAGTTTTTATGGGGAGGCGAGAGAAGAAAAGCAGGAAAGAACTATAAAGCTAACTAAACAAGCAGTCAAGCCTCCCAAAGGGCTAAGAACTCTTCGTACTGAAGCAGTCAAAGGAACGTCATAGGAATGAGTCTCATTGCTGTTTATTGAGCCATCATTTAATGCAGGAATGGGCAGTATGTGGTCTTCCGTATTTGGAACAACAAATCCCACCATCCTTCGTTTTCAGCTATGCTAGCATGGACAGATGGGATTTGTATTCCAGCAACAACTGCAGGACACACATGCTTCCCAGCCTTGGTGGAGGAGAGGTGGTTTCCTTGCAGGAGAGACCAAACAACTTGTTTCTTCTGAAGATAGAGCTTTCCCGTAAGGCAGGTTTAAATTATTTGTCTGTCTAGCCTGATGCTGCCTATTTGACTGGCAAAAGATTTCACGATTCTCAGGTAGAGCTTTCCCTTATCAGCTGCGATCTAATCCTTTAGAAAAATAAAGTGAGCCACACGAGATGGCAGGCATTGAACGCAGGCTGTTCTGTATGCAAAACATGCATTCTGCTGCCACCGTAGGGAAAAGTGATGTATTCAAAGCATATTGGGCACAACGAATGTTCTGAAGTGCTAAAATAAAGGGATTTGCGTACTATCTTTGGGAAGTCTTTCCACCCTCACCCCAGCTGGCCTGACAGCTAATTGTCCCAGCTGCTGCTTGAGGATGGATGTGCAGAATTGAGGCCCTTGCTAATGGCTTGCTGGGCAATGAATGAGAAGGGTCTTGCTGCCATTTCACTTTTGCCTGGCTCTTGCAGAGGCTTCCACCGGATTTTGGTCAAGGCGACTAGGCTACCAGCAGCACACGAGTGCCCAAAGGGGGGGCGGGGGAGTCCCCATAGGGAAGGTCTTAAGTACTGCAGTGTGTTGAGTTGCCTTCAGGGGCCAGGGGGGCACCTACACACGTCCCAGCATCCGTGCTACCCACCAGTTGCATGGCATGATGACCCGGCAGATAACTCTTCCACCTTGGTAGCAGTAAGGGTAGGGGTAATATCCTAGGAGAGGCTCACACACTCGCTGGCAGTAACGATGAGCGCGGCGGCAACGGGCACAGCAGTAGCCTCGCTCATCCCACAGTGGGTGGAACTCCAGTCCGTTCTCTGTCTGGTGGGAAAGGGAAACAGAAGGTAGATCAAACAGAAACCTCAGCTGGTGTTTGCAGGAGCAAAGCAGGATAACCATTGGGACCCTTCCAGGTTTGCTAAATTACAACCAGCAGAGCATGGAGAAATGTTGTCTCTGGACTGTAACTCCCAGGATTCCCCTTGCCAAAATGGCCAGCGGGCATGCTGCCTGGGGGATCCTGGGAACTGCAATCCAGAAAGCAACCTTTCCAAGCTGTGGCTGCAATAGTCAGCAACGGTAACCAAGCACGGTCCATGCACATGCTAGCTAGGGGCGACGCATCTTGTAACTTAATGCATCCACTTTGAGAACTGCTTAAAATGAGGATCTTAAAAACACTCTCCAAGGGGTCTTGGGGTTGGACAGGCAGACAAGCGAGAAGAGCTGTAGACCAGGAAGAAGGCTGTTCACACATGGTGACATGTTACTTCTTCCTTTTGAAGCTTAGCATTCGGGCTCAGTGCTGAAAATGAGCTATTTACAGTGGTGCCTCGCAAGATGGACACCTCGCTGGATGAAAAACCCGCATTGGTGACTCACAAGATGGTTTCTTACAGTGTGCCTCGCAAGATGAACGCCTCGCCAGATGAAAAACCCGCAAGACGAAAGCATTTTGCAATCGGGTTGGTGACTTGCAAGACGGCTTCTTCTATGGCTGTGCTTCGCAAGACGATTTTTCCCACAAGACTGGTGCCTCGCAAGATGAAAATAATTCATTCGTCTTGCAAGATTTCCCATAGGAATGCATTGCAATGCCTTCCTATGGGAAACCGCTTTTTGCAAGACGAAAATTTTGCAAGATGGTGCTACTCGTGAAACGAATTATTTTCGTCTTGCAAGGCACCACTGTATTTAACCCCAAGAACTCACATAGTCATTCACTGGGAGATCTTCCTCGGTAAGTTGCCGAGCCTGACGTTTTCTGCCTGGGCTTGCTTCTTCGGCCAAGTGGTGGACTTCCTGGTGATCCTGTTGGTTTGTAGAAATCGGACCCTCCAGCTCTCTTTCATCCTCAAAATCAAGGACTTCCGCCTCTAAAAGAGACATTGAAACAGCCACCATGAACAGCTTTCCCAGCTGACAGGGCAAAGTGGCATCGAAAGGTGCTCGGCCTCTACTGCCTCTGCAGCTTCCGGTAGAGAAAGCTATGTTGGAAGCAGTTCCTAGCTTCACAAGATGGTGGTTCCATCTCGCTCCATTCTCTTGGACATAAACCAGCTCATATCTGATTTCAGAAGCTAAAGAGAATCAAACCTTAGCTATGTTGGAAGCAGTTCCTAGCTTCACGAACAAGATGATGGTTCCATCTTGCTCCATTGTCTTGGACATAAACCAGCTCTTATCTGATTTCAGAAGCTAAGCAGAGTCAAGCCTGGCTCATACTTGGGTGAAAGACCAATAGGAAAAGCCAGAAATCTCTAAGAGGCCGTCCTGTTAGAAAGCCTAGAGAGCTATCGTAGTGTTTATAATACTGGACAAGATGAACCAATGGTCTGACACAGTCCAGCCAAATTCCTGTGTCCCTATGTTCTCTGTGCTTTTTAGTTGTCAAATTTCCTTTCCTTGAAGCTTCGTCAAATAAGAACCTGAAATACTGTGTGGTAGAAACGTGCTCTTCTGTTTCCTTAAGTAAAGTGCTTTGGCTCACTAGCAGAACAAATGCTTTTTGTTAATGGCTCAACTTGCCTGGTGGTAAAAAGAGAGAGTGACAGAAGAGCTTTCTGTATTAGAGCTTAGAAAGGAAGCTGCCTCTCCAGTTAAACAGCCCTTGGTTAGATGGAACTTGCATGGAGGGATGTAGAAAGTCAATGGGCATCTTGTGGCTAACCTGCCACAGAAGGTGGTGCAACTTAAAAGCCTTGTCATCACCTCGTTCACTTGCAAGAATAAGGAAAATATGTCCATTGCCTGAATGTTCTGGCAGAGGATGTAATCAGATCTGGAGTGAAAAAAAAAACTCCCTTGTGTTCCCAGTTTACCCCATAATTATTTGGGGAAGCTGAGCATCATGGAATGTAAAGAGGATGCTAATATGTGAGAATTGCATGTTTGAACCCATTGACAGCTGTCCACCTCACATTTCTGTTTCCACCTGCAGACAGTGATGATTCTGGAAAGCGTGCAAGCAAACCCACAAACATTTGGGCTATCATTTGTTCTTGACAGCCACATTTCAGAAGCTAGTGCTGCTGAACACAGAAGGATTAGTTATCAGCAATTCTGAGATCGCCAATCGTTCGTTTAATCACTTTTCAGTGACAGCCCAGATGATGTTGTAAGCATCAATTGTTGTTTGTGTTACCCTCACGCCTTTCCTGACACCTGATGAATGGTGATTTTTTTAAATGCCATTGTGATACGGGTCTCTCTTATAGAATATTAAAACACTTTTGGAGGGCTTTCTATTGCCTTTAGAAACCGCCTCTTTGGATCATCTGTTTTATTATTTGTTTAAAGGAGAAGCTGTTAAGCAGCCTTAGTGAGGAACTTTACTGAAGGGCAAAGGAACATCGCTGATGGATGGCTGAGGAAACATTATAAAATGGGGGTGAGCCACATACAGCGCATAAGTAAAATTTTGTGGCTACCAATCCTTTAAAAAAATATGGTGCCAAAATTCATTTTGTTTAAAGGAGAAGCTGTTAAGCAGCCTTAGTGAGGAACTTTACTGAAGGGCAAAGGAACATCGCTGATGGATGGCTGAGGAAACATTATAAAATGGGGGTGAGCCACATACAGCTCACAAGTAAAATTTTATGGCTCCCAGTACTTTAAAAAAAAATATGCTGCCAAAATTCAGTGGCCAATTGGACTGCTAATTTTTGCTGGAAAATCTTCAAAAGTCCTTTAAGACAAACATAAAGCATTTGTTTTAAAGTCTCTCTCCTCCCCCCCAAAAAATATTGCTAAAACCCCATTGAGAAACATCACTGCTCTGCGTGCCCTTTCACTGCATTTCAGTGGTTGAGTTTGTGGCAGAAGAGCCACGATGAGAAGGATGTGGGTCTTGGAATGCCCTGATGGGCGAAAATACTCTCCCTCCAATTTACTGAAGGTACCCACTACTGGCTAAAACCCCATTGAGAAACATCGTTGCTCTGCGTGCCCTTTCACTGCATTTCAGTGGTTGAATTTGTGGCAGAAGAGCCACGATGAGAAGGATGTGGGTCTTGGAATGCCCTGATGGGCAAAAATACTCTCCCTCCAATTTATTGAAGGTACCCACTACTGTTGCAGAAGGATCTTGGATACAGAACTGCACATTGCTAGATGCTATGGTGGCGAAATGCTGCTTTAATGTCTGTTGCAGCTGATGCTGGAAGAGCGATAAACTCTATCTCCTGCTTTGGCTTCATATGGATGAGTTTCTCATTGAGAAAGACTCAGTGCTTTTTGACAGGCTACAATTTACATGGAAACACCACCAAGTATTGAAAAGAAAGGAAAATGTTGGATACTCAGAAAAAGTTTGTATGGTCTCAGGCAAAGTGGCCATGAGTGGAACCAACATTTAACCAAAACTTTAAAAAGTAATGGTTTTATACAAGGAAAAGCAGACCCTTGTCTATTTATAAAAGAGAAGACACAAGCAATAATACTTGTATTTGTGGATGATTTGGCTATATTTGCAAAAAGTAAGAAAGATGCTGAGGAAATAATTCAAATGTTAAAGAGAAATTATAAATTGAGAGATTTAGGAGAAATCAGCAACTATTTAGGAGTAGAAATTGAAAGAAATGAAAAAGGATTTAAGATAACTCAGAGAAATAAAATATTAAAACTGTAACAATGCGATGAGTTTCTCATTGAGAAAGACTCAGTGGTTTTCCTCTGTAACAATGTCTTAAGGCTGCTAAGCAAATGCAGATGTCCTCTTAACATGGAAAAAAGGGGCTGTGTTTGCTTGGGGCATGCCTGATGCTTTCCTAGCTTGGAAAAGGACCGCAGGTGTCAGGGCAGGAGGCTACGAAGGCCATGGTTTTGCGAGATGCTGCCATACCTCTTAGCAAGGTTGGGTGTATCCAGTACATCGTCACATTTTTGCAAAAGTCAAAAATCTTGGAATTCTTCAGGAAGTCTTTATTTTCAACAGGCTTCTCCGCTGGAACCCAGACCACAGATTGCTCAAAATAGGTGGCTGCAGTTTCTTCACCCTGCAAGACACGAAATGGTCTCATTTGTTACTCTAGAAAAGCAGCTTGATAGAATTGTATTTCCCTACCTTCTTATTTTTGTTTCTCTTGTTTTCTGGGCTAAAACAGGAAACATACCCTGCTTTACAAGAATGGTGGTGTATTTTCATGACTAGCTTCCAGAGAAAATGGACAAGCGTCTTTCAAGTTGCTGTAGGACAGTAATTAATATTGCATATAATGTACATATATAAATTAGCATTTGTAAATTGTATGCAAAATCTGTGTTTTCTTCTGACTTCTGTTTGGATGATGCATTTCCTCTTTTATCAATATGTTAAGTGGCCGCTCTGTCTTTGATGGACCTCACAATTGTGTGATTCTAACTAGAGCTAGGAACAATTACATTTCGGTATCACAGTTCCCAGAATCCACCTCGGCTAGTGTGGCTCATGATATAATCTAAATTCTGCTGTGAACCTTTTCTCCAGCAGTCATTTGGGACAACAAAATGCAGCATAAAGAGGAGATGTTTCTAAATTGGACATGTGTGTTCTTTTAGAAATTATGAATGGATAAAATTTTGCATACTCCTTCACTTCTCCCCCTCCCCCTGCTTCGGCTGGACCATTTTCAGCCATAAAACTGATTCCACCTTGGTCTGGCATTTAACAAATGGTGAATGTATGTGCCCCATCTGTGACCAATTTAAAAGCTAATGGGATTCAGCTCAATCTGTACTTTCCATGCTGTTAAAAATCTCTGGCAATCTTGGTTCTTACTTAGTCCAGCAGCTTATTTATTTATTCATACCTCTGTCTCTTCGACTTCCATGGCCGGTGTTTCAGGTATCCCTTTGATCTGGCTTCGGATGAAGCATTTTGGATCCCCCACAAAGAAGATACCAGTTATTCCCTGATGGGACAGAAAATGACCAGGTGAAAGACAGTGTGTTGGGGTAAAGGGGGCATCCCAGCAATACTGGTTATAACTTAACTATGTGTACAGCTATGCAGTAGGTTAGTATGCAATCGGCCGTAATTGATTCCAGACAAATAAGTGAAACACAAGCCCCTCTATGAAATCAATTAATATGGCGTATTGTATACTGAACAATATATAGTATATTTGGCCACACATTCTCCATCCATATCTTCTTATTTTTCTTCCAATTTTCTTCTTCTTTCTAACTTCAGCATGACACCTCCATATTCTGTAGACTGCGAAACTACATAGGCCCTTGTGATGCTAATTTATTGAATAGTTTTAATTTACACCCTACTTTTTCATTGTTTCAGGATCCCTCAAGTTTGTAGAAACCATGACTTTATTTTTGGGTGGGCCCATTTCACTTGTAGAGCTATAGCCATGCCTACTTAATCCGAAGACCCAGTTTGCACGACTCTCCCTCCACCATCATTTTCATCTGCTTTCCCAACCTGCCATTTCCTTAATGGCCCCCCACTGGAGAAGAACAGCGGCCCATACATTTTTAAAGTCGTGTATTTCCAGGACCTCCTTGCTTCCCTCTCCAGTGTGGAAGACCTCTGTCCTGGCGAGAGAGTCGATCTTCATGAAGATCTTCTGCTTCTCCCCGTTGCCGAAAAAGGTGTGCTCCAGGCTATAGATCTGCAATGACAGATGGGGAAGGAAGGGATGAATTCCCAGAAGCAATGGTGGGGGTCTGCCTCTGTCAGCACTAAAAGAATTCCCCACAGGAAAGAGAAGGGCAGGCATGAGGCTCGTTCAGTCTACTGTGTCCCCCCCACCCTGAAGCTTGGGTGAAATGATTGTCATTTTGGACTACAATTCCCAGAATCCCCCAGCCACCATGGAAGTAGTGGTCCCCTCCCCCCAACAAAAACAAATTTAACATCAAAACAAAACGAGGCACCTTCTTCACACTCAGCTTCCACCTGGCTCTGATCTAGAGAGAGAAATCGATCAATCTCTTCTACCCATCGGCCTGAAATCCAGGATCTTAAACAGCTCTGGTCGTGTAAAGTGTAACATGCAGCCACCCCGATCCTACCCCAATGTCCTCTCAGAGGGGAGATGTTCTAGGACAGAAGAAGGACCAAGTTTAATTTCCCTTTGGAGGAGAGAGCGTTGCCATCTGAATGTTTTTGGAATGGCTTTATTTGCAGAAACCCATTGGGTGCCTAAAGAGAGGTCGGCCGTGGGTATTCATCGAAGACGGCCGCTCTGTTCTGCCATATCAGAGAGAAAGAAGAGACACAGAGGAAGAAAGCGGGACATCTTGGGAACAGCCTTGAGAGAAGGAAGGGTTAAACTGGGCAAACTGCCCAAGCCGAATGGGCTAAGCCCCTCTCTTCCTGCCGTAGTGGGAGCTGGTGGGGTTGGTGGGCACAGCTGGCAGTAGTGGCTGCTAGGAGCCAACCTGGGCATCTATAAACACCATTGTGCCTAAAGACGCCTTCACACAGTTCGACATGAGGAAGAGAACATGGATAGGGCCCTAACGTCCACCTTTGTGGAGGAGGCAGGAAGGCCTAGCCTGGTGGGAGCCAGGGTGAGCGAAAGGCAGGACAACGGCCCTTAATGGACCAGCCCTCCCTGGATTAGAGGGTTGGTTCGGACCTTGAAAGATCCATGCTTTCCATCTCATACAGCAAGATACTGGCAAGATATTCATGTCAGTAATAAATACAGGACCTGCCAAGGCTGCTTTTAATGGAAAGAAAAAGACACGGCAGGAATTTTAATCCCAGGTCTGCCACGTCATATCCTTTTTGGCCTTCTGTGTCTATATGCCTTCGAAAGCAACACATGATGTTTTTCCCTTACACAACCTGCCAGGGATTCATCCGGGATGCGTTCAGGTGAGTGAGCTGCCCCTTCAGTGCAACATTTGCCACCGTTAAACACTGTGATCTTTCTTTATGTCAAATTGGAATCGTTTTCGCCAAGAGCATAATGTCCAAAACTGAATTTTGGAAGAGTTCTCTTCTTGGACTACAACGTCCAGAATCCTTCAGCTTCTGAGAGTTGTCACACAACACACACACAAAACACACACACACACATACTTGTTGTAATTGGAGAACTAACTCAGGAAACCTTTGTACCAATGTGTTTTACGGTATGGAAAGTTTACAGTGAAGTCTCAAAAATTCTGGCGCGCTGCCCTTGTTAGACCTGCTCCAGGAACAAACTGTGCTTCACACCAAGCCTACAGTGGCATCTGAAATTTGTTTAGTCTTTAGTCTTTACTAAAGGAGTGTGTTTTTTTTAATGAGATTTTGGCAGGGTGGTGTATTTGAAGCATTTCTTGAAAAACAGTGAGTTGGTGCAGCCTTACGGTGGAGTCTCAGCAAACTTTGAAAAATGGATTTGATGGCCTTTTCTCAACATGGTGCTCTTGGCTGGTCTTGGACTGCAGTTCTCATCATCCCCAGCTCACGTGGCTATCGACTAGTGGCTGGATTGTTGAGATTCGTGGAATCACCTTGACTTCCAATATGAATCTTTTGGTTGGAAGGTCTGTGCGCTCTGCCACGCATGCTGCAGCCGGGCCACGGACTGTTTTGGAATACATGGCTCTGCAAAAAAATAACAAGACTTTGTCCTCTATCTTTGCTTGTTGAAACAAGGATGAAAGCTGTTTTCTTTCTGAGATGTTTTGCTTCTTTTCGTTATTTGGGTTTGCTGAAACTGGCGTCGCCTTAGAAGTCAAACCCTGGTGTCATTTTGTTTTTCCTGGAAAGTGCCACGGATGGCTAGGCAAACAATCATTTCCTCATGTCACAGGGAGAGATGGAGAGGAGAGGAGACAGCCAGCTGCTTGGTCCTTGTTGAAAAGGGGGGTGGGTGGGAAGGCCTGTGGCCCTCCAGATGTTGCTGGACTCCAAGACCCACCATCTCCAATAACTGGCAGGGGTGGGAACTGTAGTTCTAGAAGACAGCTTTTCTAGCTTCTCCTCATGAGCAATACTTTTTATATTTATTTATTTATTTATTTATTTATTTATTCATTCATTCATTCATTCATTCATTCATTCATTCATTCATTCATTCATTCATTCATTCATTCATTCATTCATTCATT